CGTGCGTGTGTGTGTGTGTGTGTGTGTGTGTGCGCGCGTAAGGGGCGAACCGGGGAGGGTGGTTGAACGAAAAGTAGATCTTCGGTCCAAAAAGTTTGAGCACCCCTGTTTTAAAGCGTGTGAATCAAATGGAAAACTATTCCAACACCATGGACAGCGACCTTGCAGCTGAAATACTGGAATCTCACGCAAACGCTCAATATTTGTCAAAACTGTGCACATTCTCATCAAATTAATATTGTATGGTTCTTTTAGTATTGCAAAGTTCTTTTAATTTAAAATAAGTTATATGCTTTAAAACATTTTAGCTGACAATAATATTTGTTGTCAAAGATTTTAAACTATAAACTTTTTTTGATTAAAAAAAAAGCCCTGAAAATGCACACCGTTCCGACAACTTCCTGCCGCTGTTTGGTGGTAAAAATGTTGATTGTTGTATTTTGATAGTTAAGAAAGATAGAAAGTTGTGTGAAATGTAATTAAGTGCATGCAGCACTTTCTTAATTTACACTAGTCATGTATTTTATATTCTATTATTTTATTGCAGTTGTTTTGTTCCTCCAAAATATCTAAATTTGTACATGGTCTTATTTATCTTGTGTAATTTTGCTGTTCATATAAAATACTCTGAAATACATGTATTGCGTGTATTTATTTTCAAATTATATTAATAATCATAGACTAGTATTGGAAAATGCACTTGCTTGCTTTGACTTCCATTAAAGTGGGTTGTGACTAACCACGTGAAACATTTGGATCTCAAGGTGAGACCTAATGAGAACCCCTTGTTCTGAGCGGTATCTGAGAAATTGTGGATATCTGTTGATTGTGAGAGAGAGAAAAAATCCTGAAACACTTGACTCACCAAAGTTGACATCTGTGAGCAGTTTCCTGACAGCTCCTTGTTCATATGCAGCATGTCAGCATCAGCTCCATCCACACTCACTAAACTTTGACTCATGGCTTGCATATTCTTCATGTCACTTTTTCTGGAGTCGGTGGTCCTGCACACCTCGTAATTGTACACGTGTGGGAGAGTCCCCGTTCCCAAAGTATCCGAGTAACGTGGTGGACAATACGGAATGACAGGCAGGTTGGAGTGGTAGAGGACGCGAGATTGTCTCCACCGGTACACTTTGACCGATATGATAAGCAGCAAGCAGGTGACGAAGAGGAAACGCCACGTTCACAATGACCGTAGCTGAACGAGAGGGCCGCCCGTTGTCCTCCACGACAACAGTCAGTCTTTGTTTGACAGCATCTTTGTCAGTCACTTGGCGGACAGTTCGGATTTCTCCGTTGTGGAGGCCCACTTCAAACAGCGCCCTGTCGGTGGCTTTGTGCACTTTATAGGAGAGCCAGGCGTTCTGGCCAGAGTCCACGTCCACGGCCACCACTTTCGTCACCAGGTAACCCACATCTGCCGAACGAGGCACCATTTCGGCCAGCAGCGATCCACCCGTCTGCACTGGGTACAGGACCTGAGGGGCGTTATCGTTCTGGTCCTGGATCAGGATGCGAACACTCACGTTGGTGCTGAGGGGAGGGGCCTCACATTGCTGCTGAGGGGAGGGGAGCCTCCATCCTGCGCTCTGACACGAAAGTGGAACTCTTTCAGTTGCTCGTAGTCAAATGAACGCACTGCATGGATGACTCCACTATCGGCACTAACTGACACAAATGAGGAGACTGGCACTCCGTTAACTGAGGAGTCCTCCAGGATGTACGAAAAACGAGCATTCTGGTTCCAGTCAGCATCACTGGCTTTTAGTGTAAAAATGGAAACACCTGGTGTGTTATTTTCTACAATGTAGGCCTCATATGAGCTCCTCTCAAAGACAGGCGCGTTGTCATTCACATCTGAGATGAGTAAGGTGAGAGTGACGCTGCTGGAGAGGGAGGGCACACCCTCATCAGCGCACGTCACTGTGATATTATACTGAGACGACCTCTCTCTGTCTAAATCATTATCTGTCACTAAGCTATAAAAGTTAATTGTTGAGGTTTTTAAAGTAAATGGTATGTTTTCGTTTATGAAACAAGCAACATTTCCATTTTCTCCAGAGTCTTTGTCTTCTATATTTATCATTGTAACAACTGTATTGAGCTCTGCATTTTCTGCAATAATATTTGACTTTGACATTATGCTGATTGTCGGCTCATTGTCATTTATGTCTTGCACGTCAACGATGATTTTGCACGAATCCGTGAGCCCTCCTTCATCATTTGCCAATACATTTATTTGATAGTTTCGAGAATGCTCAAAATCAATTTGTCCAATTAATGTCACTTCACCTGATTCCTTGTTAATTTCAAACGTTTTTCTAATATCATGCAGTGCATCGCTTATAGAATATGATATTTTGGCGTTGGGGCCCTGATCTGCATCAGTGGCAGACACGGTTGCCACGATTGTTCCTAAAGGTGAATTCTCAGTTATAGTAGCCTTGTATACGTGCTGTATAAAAACGGGAGCATTGTCATTCGCGTCTAACACTGTAACGTGAATCAACATCGTTCCCGACATGCGCGGCTCTCCTCCATCTACAGCCGTTAACACGAGAGACATCTGCTCCTCTTTCTCTCTGTCTAAAGGTTTCTGTAAAACCATCTCCACATTTTTATTTCCATCCGCATTATTTTGGAACTTGAGAGCAAAATGATCCGATGGTTTTAATTCATAATTATGAACGCCGTTAATTCCAACATCAAGATCGACAGCCTTCTCGAGAACGAATCTTGCTCCAATGGTCGCCGACTCGCTTATTTTAAAAGTCATTTCGCCCCTGTCGAAGGTTGGCGCGTTGTCATTCATGTCAGTAATTTCAACGGCAATGCTGTAAAATTGCATGGGGTTCTCTAAAATAATTTGAAAATGTAAAGCGCAAGGCGTCGTCTGTCTGCACAGCGCCTCTCTGTCGATCCTTTCTTTCAACAGGACGACTCCTCTCTCTCCGTTCAACTCTACATGATTCT